GATTGTAGACGCGTAGAAGGGATTGTTGACGTGTAGAAGGGATTGTAGACGTAACTTCATGTCTAATTTACAATCTGGTCGATAATTCGAAAGATATTGTCGTGTTTTTCCGAGCTTGAGATGTATTACATTCGAACAATATCAAACATTTTTTTATAGCATAAATTAACAATTTACTGTTTAAAAGAAACTTTCAGATGAATAATAAAGCATTTGAATTGATCAGAATAAAGATTTAAAGAGTACGGTATATTTATGCAACTTGAAATTACACGTTTAATGTTTATAGTTTAGACATATCTTCTATAATATAAATCTTAGAATCAAAACAATTTTTTCATTTATATAATCATTGATTTTAACATAATTCTAGGCCAACAAGAGGTTTTCAAGATTTGCTGAATATGTTCTCAAAAATCCTGAACTTCTTGAGAAGATTAAGAATATTGAAATAGATGATACAGGTAGTGATCGAAAAATCAAATGATCGAATGATCAAATGATCGAATGATCAAATGATCGAATGATCAAATGATCAAATGATCAAATGATCAAATGATCGAATAATAAAATGATGGAATGATCAAATGATCAAATGATCAAATGATCAAATGATCAAATGATCAAATGATCAAATGATCAAATGATTTTATAATCTTAAGTATTCATTTACAATATTTATTAGATGATACGAAGAATGGTGCAACTCTGTTTGTTCCAACAAATGCTGCCTTTGATGTAAGTTAATTTAATTATAAGCATTTTTTTATTATATTTCTTCAGGATTTTCTTCTTTTTATTTATTCCTTCATTTCTTTTTCAGATTGATTAAATGCTTTTTAATCTTATGATTTTCTACAAACAAATAGTAATTTAGTTTTTAATTGGTTTTCATATTTTTTAACTTCAGTGCCACAAAATCTTTCCTTACAAAACATTTTTACCACAAAACACAAAATAAATATGTTTTATTCCATAAACGTATCTTATCTCAAAAAGTTACTTTTATAAAACGTTTCCTGGCTCTGCGCTCATAGGTTTTTTCTTCTGATTTGGTTTTTTATATTTTTACCCCTTTTTTCTGACAGGCTAATATTTGTACACCATTGTTACCTCCCCCACACCCC